AGGAGGGTAGTTGTCAGTTTGGGAGGAGTAGGACCTCCTCCTCCCAACTCTCACGTCCTTCCTCCCTCTCTCTCCAACTCCTCCTTCAGTCCTTGCTAACGCTGTGGGCCGCGAGATCCTAGATCTCGCGGCCATGAATAATCGTGGCTTTCTAAGTGGGAGGTTGGGTTTGCTCCCACACAGTCTACAAAGACTGTTTTCACAAGGTTGGTTACCTCGTTTTTTTTTTTTTTTTTTTTTTTTTTTTTTTTTGTTAAGTACCTTTTATTTTGTTTCTTCCTTCCCCGTCTTTCTCTGTTTTTTATGCGCCAATGGCCACACGACGTGGGCAAGCTAAAAACGAAAAAAAAATAACGGACAAAAAGAAAATAAGAGAAACAAAAAAAACAAACAGTTTACCTTGCCAGTGTACACTTCCATGTTCCAGTGGAAGATTCGTTCGATTTTGCTCATCCTTTCGTGGGCTCGTACGACGAGGGGCCAACTAGGTAAGTAGGGGTAGGTAGATAGGAGGTCTTTCCTTCCCTCTCTCTCTCTCTCTCTCTCTCTCTCTCTCTCTCTCTCTCTCTCTCTCTCTCTGGCTGCCTCCGGCGCCAGGTTCATGCGCAACGAAGGACTGTCGAAGTCCAACCTCCTGATGAGTCGGTGCAACCCGACGAAACAGTTTGTCACATCCTCATCTCCCCGTTCGTTCGAACGAACGGGCGCCAACCTCAGGGGCCAAGTCCCACTAGCATCGAGTTAATCGGTGTGTGGCGTTCTTTTCTCATTTAAAAACTAATAAACAATGTTTTTTATCATTTATACGAATGCAAAGAAAAGGACAAAAAAAACGAAAAATTACGGGGCCTGACATCGACATCATGACTAAGCTTCAGTGCATCGACACTTCCACCAACCCGGTACATCTGCATGCAACCTTACCGCCAGCCTTTTCGCAGTCTTCCACGGAAATCTCAATATTCTCAATTTTACCGAATAAAAAAAGAAAACAACATCGATGCAAAAACGCCCCCCCCCTCCGACCTCCCTAATATTGCAGCTTCGCGCCAACGCAAAGTGAGGAGCTAAATGGGCAAAAAAATGAAAAGGAAACTGTTCTATTGGCCAGCGGACAGATACCCTAACGAAATAGGTCCTTATCCCCCTGCGCCGACGATACACAAAAGGATCAACGGCCGTCGGATGTTACCTCGCGCTGCACGTGGTTGAAAACCATGGAGCCGAAGAGTAAATCGACGCTAGTGGGACGAGGCCCCAGATAAGAAGAACAACAAAAAGAAAAAAGAAAAAAAAATCTAAATAAAATCTAAGAAAAAATCTAAGTAAATAAATCTAAGACGTAATCTAAAAGAAAAAAAGAAAACTTACCTCTGAAGAAAAACGGTCGCCCGTTTTCTCGGGCGATTGTTAGATGTACTGGGGCTGAAAAGTCCCAGTCATTTCAGAGGCCGCCAACTGTCACGTCGTGGTCTATCTAGTTTTATTTTTTTATTTTTTTTATTTTTTTATTTTTTTATTTTTTTATTTTTTATTCATTGGCTAAGCCAACGATTACCCCCTTGTTCGTGGCACACCCACGAACCACTGAAAAACAAGCCTGGGTTCGAATCCCGTCGGGGACTTTTCGGGCCATTTCTCGATTTATGCGTGTCATTCCTTGCGCTGGGTCATTCTAATCTCCGCGCGGCTGATCTCAGCCACGAGATCTTCTTGATCGGACGGCCGAGATCGGCCGCGTTCTGATGCCTTCTAAAAAGAAGGAGGCCAGATCAAAAGGAGCCAGCCCAGTGGTGCATTTTCGTCGAATTCGATCCTGGTATCTGCCAGGTGAGAGTCTGCTACGTTAACCTACTGGGCTAGCTCCTGTTCCACGCTGAACAGGAGCAACTCTTCAATATGAAGAGCTGACCCAGGTATTCTCTCAGCCTGCAGCCTTACAGGCTCCGCCCGTAAATGGCCTAGCAGGCCTGCCCCGGCTGTGGCTTACCGGCTTACCCAGCCTGTGGCCTACCCATACCGGTTGGCCACGTGGCCGCGGCTTGGTCGGCCATCGAACAGGGTAAGTCTTGGCATTGGTCTATCGTCCCCAAGGCTCGACGCCAAACCTTGCGCCCTAGAAAAAAGAAAAAAAAACTTCCTACACCTCCTGCGTCATGACCCTATACCCCGGCGCAACCCTCTTTTAGTCCACTTAGGCCCTGAATCTGAGCCGCGCGACACCATTATAGGTAGGATAGGTTTAACTTTAGTATTCTCTTATCCGCGCGTTCCTGCGGCTCCGACAAAAGCCTAGTCTTGTCGTTCATATTCGATACCTCCGGACGTCACACGCGTCCGGACGAAAGTCTGAAAACTTTTAGTTCCTTAGTCATAAGTCAGGTCTGAATAAACGTTTGGCAAACGTCAGTCTCATCAAGACCATTATTTCAACGCAAGAGTCGGACAACGTCCGACGTTCAAAAACAACTGCAAATACCCTTGTCAGGGTTTTTGCCCCGACAACAATCCCAAACCCCATTGAACGACGTCCCCGTCGTTCACCATGTATTAATTAATAATATAGGGCTCTCTGGATTCTTATGCAACTCCTTTAAACAAAATTTCTTTCAATCGAAAATAAGCCAAAGCTCATAACCAAAATCCAAGTTATTGCCTCGGTAATCTAAAATTCAATCATCCTTGATTGGAATGGTATTAGATGTAGCCTCTGACAAACCTTTCACCAAACCTGAATTTATACCGGTTCAAGTTCCGGAATCAGTAAAATTTTCAAGGAACTTTGTCTAAATGGTCCCAGCATCATCTCACTGACGGCATCTCTAAACATTTTTTTAGTCTCTCAGAATGGTCCCGGAAAAAGCCTCCGGCTAGCCTTCTAAACCCCAATCGGCTAAATTTTTCGTTTATCTAAAAATGTCAGGTTTAACCCCCTGACGGGTATTTCAAAATAAATAACCTTATGAGCGACCCAGACAGAATCTGAACCAACCATTCATGAGAGAAACCATTTATCAAAAGTCCTTGTTAAGGTTTTGTATCCCACTCCAATTACGAGTTATCACACATGACATTTTTCCTGCATGCTTTGTGATATGCGTCGAGGAGTGGTGTAATCTTCAAGGGATAACATATCGACGTCAAGCCCCGCTTTAGACTCGAGCCTCATCACCTTCCCTCCGATTCCAGTATCATGTGCTTGCTAGTCCCCTACCTGCGAGGTTGAACTACCCTTTCTCTATGACCTAGGCTGGTCAGACCCGGTCATAGAGGCGAGGCGACCCCATTCGTCACAAGGCCAAGGTGACCATTCCTTTCCCCATGATGAACAACAGTCGTCACCCTCACAAGCAAGATTCAATCACAATAATACCTTTCCCCCTTTCAATGATAGTGTAGCCACCCTCCTTAAAAAGGAAAAGTGACAGCATCCCACTATGGACTAGGAACAAGTTCGGGCGTAGGCCTCACTACCACCTACAAAGCTCACTGCATCATGACTCATCATAATATGATAACTAAAAACATTACGAAAGTTCTAGGCTATGATAAATAATTGCATTACATGCCTTAGCGAATAACACACGGAGTTATCCTTCAAGCCATATAATGCAAATTACATATCATCTTCCTAGAACTTTTTACAACGAGAATATACATTAAATAGCCATATACATTTCCATAGAGAGTTCCATACATTCCAGTCCAAAAATATTCATAATTTTGTGTTGCATCACATTTCATCGAAAAAAGTAACAAGCAATTATCCAAATACAAATATCTGATCAAAAAACCACGACACAATTCCAGGAACAGGAGTCGTAGAATTTATTTATTATAAAAAAGCATGGAACCATAGGTCCCAATTTTAAATCCAAATCCCAAGAGTTTAAAGTTACAATTCCCTTGTCTGTCCTCGGAACCAGTCAGCAATTTGTGATCCCATGTAAGAAAGAAAGTAGACGAAGAAAAACAAGTCCTTTCTATCCACAATCTATTCTAACTGAAAACCCTTTTATTAAGTCCTTGGAATAAACTTTCTCAAATGTGATCCTGATACCCAATTTCGACCTCCAGCCCCATCCATCTCTTCGATCTCATAAGCCCCATGCTCAAACTTCCTGATAATACGATAGAGCCTCAACCATCGGCTGTCCAATTTTCGAGACCATTGTTTTTCCAAGGACGAATCATAAAGAAGTACTATATCCCCTACTTCCAATGGTTCCTTACGAACACGTGACCCTTTGTCGGTCTGTCTACTCACTGAAGTAGAGGCAGCGGCCTCCTCAACCCTTTCCTCAGTGATCATCACTTGTCTTGCCCTTAATTCCAACAACCTTTCCGTTGAAAGCTTTGTTTTCACATCCTGCTTCCTCCAAATGGTCAGAAAACTTTCAATCGGAAAAGTTGCATGTCGCCCAAACCACAATGTGACCGGAGCGTATCCAGTTGTTCGCTTTATGATGACGTTTTCAGCAAAGAATATCGTCCGTAGATAAATCGGTCATCTCGATGGATCATCCCCACACCATTTTGCCAACAAATTTGTCAGAGTGGCATGTCCACGCTCCACTGGCGCATTTGCCTGGGGATGTGCTCTAGTAGTGTAGTTGAAGCTTACTCTAAGTTTCTTCAAAAGCGCATGCACCTCCCCTGCCCGAAACTCACCACCTCGATCCATGACAATTTATCGGACAAACGGGTACTGGAGATAATATTCCTCAATGCATTCTGCTAAAACATGCCCAGTACGCTCGCGAACGACACAGTCATCAACGAACCCAGTCAGATTATCCCTTGCATTGAAGATATATCTGTACCAATTTATCCCAGGTGGCATGACCAATAGATCAAGGTGTACTACTGCTCCTGGCTCAGCCACATAACGTGGATTAAGTGGTTCAACAAAACGCAGATTAAATTGTTTTTGGCAAGGAAGACAAGAGTTACAAAATTCATTCACCATCTTGTTCATTACTTCCCAAAAATAAAGATGTTGAATCTCATCTTGTTCATTCCTTCCATAAAATAAAGATGTTGAATCTTTTTCAAAGCGACTCACGCCGATCCATGTCCGTCTGCGACCCCATCATGCAAAGCTGCAATTACATCAAGTTGTCGCGCAACCCCACATACCACTCTCTTTGGAATACCATCGTTGGACTTCTTGAAAAAATGACCATATCGTACAATAAAATCCTTGCTCTTCTGGCGAACAACTGGATCCACCTCATCCTCCCTCAACTCACCATTCAACCACATTCTCATTAATCTATACTCCTCATCATACTCTCCTTCTCTGAAAGCTTCTTTGATCTCACTGCCTTCTGCTTCTCCATTCATCATTTTCATGCGGTCCTCGTGAATCAGAGAATTCACAAGGAATGACATTTCTTCAGTGACCATGAAAGTTTTATCAGCCTGCTCATACCCATACTGAATCGTCAGCGGCTCTTTGATAAGCTCGACTTCATCAGATAAAGCCAAGTTCATCATTTGCTCTGATGTTCTTTCACCCCACGGGTCTTCCTCAATGAACGGCTCCCCAATCACGAGCTCTGATCGCACATGATGGAAACAAGGAGCATTCCAGATGGTTTTCCCATGTCGGGTTGTTGCATCCGCCAAATTATTGTATGAGTTAATACTCAACTGTGACTCTTCTCTTTCGAGGGATCCATCGACAGAAACTGAATCCTCAGCCTGATCCGTCGATGAGTCCCAATCAACACGACTCAATCCATCTGCTCGATTCTGAGTGCCTGAAATGCGCTCAATCTCAAAATTAAACATCCAAATATACGCCAGCCATCGAGCAATGGTTGGATCAGAAGGAGAATAGTTCTTCAATGATTGAGCTAGAGCCGTAAGATCAACTCGCAGAATGAACCGCCTGTCAAATACAGAATTCCTGAAAATACGCAGACAGTGAAGCACAGCGAGAGTTTCCTTCTTGAACTGGGAGTAGTTCCACTCAGTAATATTCAGAGTTTCGCTCTCGAACCTTAATGGACGCTCCCGTCCTTCCCCATCCTTTTGGACCAAAACTCCTCCCAAAGCGGTAGGACCCGAATCGGTCTCGATGATGAAAGGACTGCCTTCAGCATCATCAAAGCAAGGAATTCCTAGAATCAGGTCGCCTTCTCGAAACTCAGCTTTAATATCCTCAACGACTGCCTGTTGCTTCGCTCCTCATTCCCAGATCTGACTCTTGCGTACTAACTTTCGCAAGTGTTCCACCCTCGCTGCGAACCTGCAGATAAAAATACGCCAAAATCCGCAAGTCCCGGGGAAGCTTCGTACGTCGGTAATAGATCTAAAGGGAGTCGGCCACTCCAAGATCTTATTCGTCTTCTGGGCATCTGGCCGACGACCCTTCTCATCACAAAGGAAACTCACTATTACCGCCTTCCTCATACCATGCCTCGATTTAACCCCACTAGCATTGAGGTTATATTCCTTCAGTTTCCTCAGAACCTTTTCCACATTGCTGATGTGTTCTCACACGAACTTTCGAACGCCGGGTAACACTTCAGTCTCGTCCTTGACTCGAGGTCTTGGGATAGCCAAATCATCGATATATGGAGAAGTCACGTCCGGACAAAGCGGCTGCATGACTCTCATCATATATCTCTGCACAATTGCCACGACATTTTTCCAACCTTGTGGAGCCGCGCACATATGAAACAGTCGTCGAGGCGTATGCATCACCGTCATAGGTCGATCCGCTGTGTACAGCGGGAACTGATTATACCCCGAATACAAATCAATCAAAGGTGATGATGGGCCGGCCTGCACAAGATTTCGAAAGTTGGTCGGCGTTCGAAAGTCCTCCTGCATCTCGGACTGTCACAGAAATCAACTTCTGCAGGTCCTGAACCCATCGCAAAACACCGTTCGGCTTGATAAAGCAGAACCAAGGAGACGCATATGGCCCATACGAATAGTCAGCCACTTTGGTCCGAACCTTACCATCAAGATAATCAACCACCTTTCGGTGATCGTCCGGATTCGGATATCGTGGACCTTTCACATTCCATGGCTCACGCGGTACCGTATGGATCCGATCATTGGAATCATATCGACGTCCAGCCTTCCACACTCATCATCATCAAAAGCATAAGCCAGATGAACTTTCTTCATAATGTCGATAAAGAATTTGATTTCCTCCTTAGTAAGGAGGTCATCCTCTCCAATGATCATCTCCTTAACCCTGTCTTCTGTTAATCGACACGGCCCCTTCTCACCTTTCCCCTTCAACGTTCTGATCCACTCGCGTTCTTCCTTGTAATACACCTCTTTTTCCTGAGTAATCAGAACTGGCACTGGTCGCGCTTTCTCCCCTACTTTCTTATACTTCCTCTTAGACCCAACGCTGAGCTTCCGTCCCCTAAAAAAGACTCTTGCCGCGCCAATGGCAATGAGTCCTCCATACGAGATTCACTTGGCCGATAAACAAGATGCATGGTCTCTTCACCTTCTTTGTCAACCACAACCTCCATCAGGGTCTGTACCAGGCTCGGATCGATTGCAGGATGGGTCGCTGCAAAATCGATTGCCTGCGAGATACTTGGCAATGTTAACGAAACTCCTGATGACCCCTTTCCTCCTCGATCGCCTCTTTCTCCCTTCTCAATTTCTCTGACTCTAAGTAAGTATACGATTCAGGGTTCAGCCAGTTCCTTGAATTTTCTGGTCCGGTATTTGCGCATTTCACCACTTCATAGTAGCCGCAAACCGGGTCGCACAAAGCTACAAACATGGTGTCGTCATGTTTGTTGAAGATTATGCTTTCTGTGTGACACTGAAAAGATCTTCCCAAAAGTACTTCGTGGTCAACCTTTGGCAATATATAGAAATACGATTTCGCCTTTACCTTCTCGACCGTGACCATCACCCCACTAGCAGTATCGCAAAATGGAGTTGCCCCGCTGACTCCAATCAAAAATCCAAAATTATTGCGATTGATCTGTATCCCAGCTTCAATCGTATGCCTCTCTCTCATGATGTTCATTTCGGCCCCATCATCTATGACAACAGAGAACTCTCCACGACCGATTTAAACTTTAATGAAACCAGTGGCCACACATCGCCAATCCATCTTCGTCCCATGAGGCGCCCAGTTAGCTTCAGGAGGGATGATCTCTCTCAGCTTAACCGTCATGACTTTCTTCCGAGTCATGCGCTGCTTAAATTCCTCGCGAAGCTTCAGAGATACAACAATAATCTCCTTTAGGGTAACCAAATCACGCTGACTTTCCAGAATGCGATCCACAAGTTGTTCAAAATCAATCCCTTTTTCAACAGGGATCGTGTATACGTTCTTCTTTTTGCGAGGTTCCTCTTCCTCGACCTGGGTCTTTCCTGCTCTCGAAGCCTTTTCCATAGCCCTCTGCTTTGCTAGCAGTTCATCCTTTGCTCGCAATCTTTCATCCTCCTCCTCATCATCCCCTTCCTCTACCTGTTTAGGTTCCTTTTCCTGAGGTCCCTTTGAACTTTCTCCTGGCGCAGACTGCTATTGTGAGGTCTTTCTTCCCTTCCTCGTCTGCACCATGACGTTTGGCATCCCTCTCTTGAGTACATGTCTTGAAATCGTCATTGGCTGTGTCATCGGCGTTGCTTCAGGCACCGAAGCGGCCGCAGGTGCTGACCCATCCTGACCTTCGTTCCCCCCCATCCACCAAAAAGGAATACATTAGGAACGTTCGACCAGACTTCTTCCATATCAACACATAGCTAGACAATGGAATCTCGACACTTGCCCAGTTTCTTGGTCACCTTTCGCGCCGGATGAGCAATGTCTTCTTTCGTTTCCTCTAACTCTTTTTCGTCACAGCCACCAATCTCCAAAGAAGTCGTAGCCTCTTCCAATTCAAAAAGACTTGCTTCTTCAGGAGAAGCAAGGCGGAACGTGACTAGAATAGGACGGCCCATCCGTCGAAAAGCCTCTTTCCTCATTCCTCCTTCAATGTCTTGGTCGATGAGATTTCCTTCGAAGTCAAAGACTTCTCCTCGAATCGTCGTAAAAACGATCTGGTTTTTCTCATCTTTCGCCAGGATTTGGTAGAAACGAATAACATGTCATTTCATATCACAATACTTGCAGACGTATTCCTGCCAATTCCCTCGGCCGTCACCGTTTCCACGACCTCTACCACGGCCTCGACCACCCTGAGGTTGATTCTGTTGAACTTGGCCTTGTTGCCCTTGGCCAACTTGCTGCCCAATGCTTCCATTCCCTACATTCTTACTATTTTCTCCCTGTTTACGAGAAGTACCATGCCCTCCTCGTATCTAATTCAAGGTTTTCCTCTCAGCCTTGGTCAGTTTCCGAGGAGTTTTTTCCTCGCCGTCACTCTCACTGCTGCTCTCTTCAGTGACTGGCTCCTTCTCTTTCCTCTTCCCAGTGTTTGCTTTGGCCATCATCACTTGAAGCTTTAACCGTTCCTCCTTCATACTGGTCATCATTTCCCTCATGTCAGATAAGGTCTTATAAACCTCCTTGTCCTTGTCTGTTCCCAACTGTATCCTCTTCCGATTCTCCTTCTGCTGTTTCAGCAGCCGATAGAGGATCTGATCGAAGTCCCAGGCCAATAAATTCTCTCGAATTTTTGGCCAATCATACCTCTCTTTCATGCCTTTCACCAATTTTAACTGCTCAACCTCCGTGAAATTATCCAGGAAGATGAGACAACGATCTTTATCAAGAAGGTCAGGAACTAACCTCGCTACCCGCTCGAATTCAGTTAGGTTTTGCTTTGTTGCACCAAAGTTTTTCCAACTAACTTTCCTCAAATCGGTTAAGTCCAACAGTTGATCGCTCAACTGATACTTTTCTAGCAGTTTCCTTTTGAATTCTGGCCAATCTCGCGAATCTTGTACCAACTCCTCCACCTCTTCCTTGTACTGATTCTTGCAGTATCTCTTCACCATTCGCAGCATCTTTTCATTCGACCACTCGCAGCAACTTTCCAATTGCTCGAACTTTTCTGCCCATCCAGAGGCGTTGTTACCATCAAATAATGGAACGTCAACTTTCGAAATTTGATCCTTCTGGGACTGCTGAATAATTCTGGCGAGCTCCCGGATGTCATTTCTCCTCTCATCCTGATTATCGTTGTTATCAGACATCTTGAGTGAGGAAAATCACAACAACATATTTAACAGAAATCAGTCAATCTTTCTGCATAAATAAATTCTCATAATTTTGGGATCAAATTACTGACTTTTTCTGAGGTTAAACAAGGAAAAGAAAATAACTTTTTACACCATACATCACCCAAGTGTCGTTTCGCTAGGGACAACGGTAGTTTGCCGTTATCCCCGGCAACGACGCCACCTGTCGAGCACATCGGCCCTCGCGTGAAAACGAGGGCCCTCCCGGCCATGTCACGCACGAGTTTACCTAAAACATATCTTTTAGAGACAACTCGGGAACGACACATAATATTCCGTGAACCGCCGAGACGGACGCGGTTGCTTCGCTCCTTCGCCGCTCTAGCCGGATGCGCCAGCTATACATCCCGAGGTCCCCTACGATAGGACAGGTTCCCACGGGGCATAAGCTGACATCCCTAAGGGGTTGTCACCACCCTTAAGGGCGTATCCCTACCGAGCTACTGATCCACGTGCAAAGGTTTTTAAATGCAATCGCAAAGGTAGATCATCCGAGGGTGTTTGCTCGTCTCGCTGCAGTATAGGAATTGTTTGACTAAACGCCGAATGAACCCGGGCATCGTTCGTTCCTTGCGGCGCTGATCTCCCAAGTACGAAGCGTACGCTTGTCGACTAGGACAGTCTCTACCACGCGTGAAAACGATCCTTAGTCCCTAGCAATCAAACAACAAGAATCTTCATACCTTAAAACAAAATCACACAATCCAAATCGTTGACTTGATGAACTGGTCTGCCAAAGTGTCTCTTTTCAACCTGTATGACTGAAAGAATTTTTATATTGTCGTTCCAAGACTATTAATTTAAATAAATAAACTAAGACTGATTTTCCTATCATTACTACTGAAATTTGTCATGAATAACTTCTGCAAGTAAATACCACTGGTACCATGCAGATCAACAAGTGATCTGGTTCCTGGTCGATGTTTGAACTCTCGGTTCGACCACGTTTCCGTACCATATACAACTACTTGGAAGAGCGAGTGACAACTTTGTTGATCGCTTTGTCCTCCTGGACAATAATTACTCTTTCTGTTTCACGAATAATGGAGTATCCATCTCCAACACCAAGTTACGCAACGCAGAAATGTTTCATCTTCCGCTGCTTCGCTTGACAACTTTTTCAGACGTTCACTTTTTACTTTATCCAACTTATTTTTACGCGAACGATTACCTCTCAATGCATAAGCATGGTAGTGAAATCATCGGGGTAATCCGAATACTATCCATCCGGCGGTCCTAACTACATAAAGTATTTTGTTTTGGTTTTTAGATTACCTCGTGAAACCATAAATTATATGGTTTCTTCAACGGGACTGAGTCCATGCGAGGTGTTTGATGATCTGAGTAAGATTTCAGAAGACAATGTCTAATCCTGGTAGATCTGTTGCCCGCTGCGCACCTGTGCCTCCAACGAATCCAAACGTGTCAGTTCGTCGTCGTCGGAAATCAGAGTAGATATTCGTCCACATCGCATGACTATAATAATCCGAGTATTATAGAAGGAGGCCATACGAGAGGCTAGTCTCCAAACTATAACTCGGAGAGGTCGATTAAGTCCAAACAGGTGTCGAGTCTCTGTGCCCCGGATCCGGACGACGCCGAAACGCCTACCGGACGAGGTAATCTTGATATTCACAATGACTCGAGAGAGACATTAGAGATTACTCGCGCGGTGGAAATACAAAGTATAACCGTAAAGCTCGTCGAAAGCTCGAGCCGTGTTGACTCTGAAATCCGCGCGAGTGTTAGGGAAAAATATGTCGCCATTTCGAAGCAATCCAATGAGGTCGATCCATTCGGTAGGAGATCCATCTCGAACTCGTAAAAGTCGCTCTCCACTCCTGATGAGATCCTCCTCGGGCGTATCGCGAACCAGCAGGTACCTTGGGATTGTCAAATCTCTTCGAGCTCCAGGCATCTGCGTATCAGAAAAAAGTCATAATTARTCGTGTAGATATTCCTCTATTTCATCTGCCTCGGCCTCCAATTCATCATCATATAATGMCTCGATGTCTACGATTGCGAACCTATTGGCTCGCACCCGTTCTACGAAGTATATATCGAAGAAMGACCCTTATCGATCGTTTAGCCAAAGCACGTGTCGAACRAACATCAACCTTATTTCYGCAGTTTCGTCCACYCGTGGGTTGATCTYATATGGCTRCAATACCACCAAGTTCATATTGACGAAGTGRCGCTCGGGCAATGGCGGCGCGAACTCGTAATGAAGAACATYMAAACCGACCGGTCTCCTGAAAATAAGYCGTCTRGGGAGTCTTTGCGCACTACCATCCCAAAACCGTGGAACGTCCTMCTCAAAGTACAGCTCTGACGAATTGTAAACAAGTCGGCCTATCCTGTCTACCCTTTCTCCACTACGCATTTGGAGTTCRACCKTTTCAGCCGCYGAATCGTGGTCGTAGAAAAGGAACAAGTCCGTGGATCCTAYAGCCATCAGAAAGAAAAAGGAAGACAAATGTGTTTTAAGTTAAACTCTTGACTTCGAGTAYTATTCGGTTTTTGTCTTCCTTACAGCCCGTGCTTCTTATGACACGACCAACCACGTCAGGAGTATCTAACTGTACTCCGTTCAGCTAGTAGGACATGAGTCATGCTGCTTGTGGCACCAACTCTCCATACGTTAGTGGTACCTAAGATGACCACTTAAAACAGGGGTGCTAAAGCAGTTTTTTTTTTACTCAAGGCGTCAAGAAATAACTTTCATGCCTTTTCCATTACCCTAAGAGGTGGTCTGGGATACTCCTCCTTCTCGCCTGAGTATAAATCTCGGATCTCAGAAGTCGGGCCGTCTCCACCGAATCGGTATAGTACCCCCTCGGAAAGCGGTCCACTCTGAGTCGATAACAGGACCGGCCCCTAAGGCAACGAACCCCCGCCCCAGATGCCTCCTAGAAAAAGGGAAAATACCTACACGGCAGACAAGAAGAATCTTGTCGCCTAACGTCAAAAGTAAACTTGGACGAAGAATTTTTTTTTTGTAGAAAGATAATAGAATCATTCTGACTAGCAAGCATAGACGGGAAAAAGATCATTCGGGAAAGAATGGGTAACCTCAGGGATAGGTCTAAATCCAATTGAACTTTTCTTCCTTGTGCTCGCTTCTTTTCCCGTCGTCTTCTTTCTCTTTTATTTATATATACAACACAAACACAAAGATGAAAAAGTCAACCATTCTTTCACCGTCATCACCCTCATTCATTTAAGTCCACATGTCGTACCTGTAGTCAAAACCCAACGACACACAAACCACCATTCATTCCTTTACCATTGTCAGACTCCCACTCATACACGCATGAACACACATCCTCTTCCCTTTTTCAATGAACATTCAGTGAAACAGGTCAAAGCAAGTGTGGGTTCACTCAGGTGTGAAGGGAACTGAGTCAATTTAACTGACCTTGAGTGACGCTAAAATGAAGATAATAATGGCTCACTCAAGAAAGCCGTATAAAATTACGCCCCTCTGTCAAGAGACAGTTCTCTTCCAGTCGTCGACAAATAATCCACACCACTCTTTTCACCGAAACCACCTGCCACAACGCGTCCTCACTATGTTTTCCAATGAGTGTCCCCGCCACTGACTTCCACTGTGACTGCGTCACCACGCCGTCAAAATTCACACCACCTCAATCCTCCGCTCCAGCGGTACCTTCCCTACACCAAGGTCCGACTACCGCTGAAATGTGGAACTTCTACCGCCGGTAACCTTGCATCGCCGCCGTAAAATTTTCACAGCGCTTCCTCACCACCGCTGGTAAAACCGGAGTCACCGCCGAAAAATTCGGACAGCGTTTCCGTACCACCGCCGAAAAAACTGTAGTCGCCGCCGTAGAATTTGGGCAGCGCTTTCGCACCACCGTCGATAAAACCGTAGTCACCGCCGTAGAATTTCAGCAGCGCTTTCGCACCACCGTCGATAAAACTGTAGTCACTGCCGTAGAATTTCGGCAACACTTTCCCACTACCGCCGAAAAAAACAGAATCGCCGTCGTAAAAGTTTGTGCCGCCATCGCAGAAATTTTGCAGCTCTTCGGTACCACCGCAGTAAAAACTTGTACCGCCGTCGCAGAAATTCGGCAGCACTTTGGCACCACCGCAGTAAAAACTTGTACCGCCGCCGCAGAAGTTCGACAGCACTTCGGCACTGCCACAGTAAAAACCAGGACTGTCGTTATAAAATTTCGGCAGCACTTTTCCACTATAGTGGAAAAATTGCTAGCCAAAATTGGTAAAATTTGGGCCTCAGGCCCAAATTTCACATCGCTGCACTGCCGTAGTCCCGCAGGTTCACTGGGTCTGTCCCGTGGGACCAACACCAGGCAAAGGAGAGGGGAGTAGAGTGCAAGGGTTGAAAAGATACAACCCTTTTTAGTTTGATGTATCTGGACCCTTTTTCCAAGGCAGATACATCGGGGAAAAGACTGCATCTAGCCTTTTCCTTAGTGGTCTTTAAATTTCCAGGCTCCCTGCAAAAACAGGAGCCTGACAGTGGTAGCACCACGTGAGGACAAGTGTCCTCACACGAATAAAAAAAAGAAAAGAAATTAAAAAAACTAATTACTAATTTTCATTGCACCTGACTCTTACCTCAGCTAGGTGCATGCGGTTGCATGCAACAACCTTCCACCTTTTTCTCTGCCTTCCCCTGAAAACGAGGAGGGCAGTTGTCAGTTTGGGATGAGTAGGACCTCCTCCTTCCAACTCTCACGTCCTTCCTCCCTCTCTCTCCAACTCCTCCTTCAGTCCTTGCGCACGCTGTGGGCCGCGAGATCCTAGATCTCGCGGCCACGAATAATCGTGGCTTTCTAAGTGGGAGGCTGGGTTTGCTCCCTAACAGTCTACAAAGACTGTTTCCACGAGGTAGGTTACCTCGTTTCATTTTTTTTTTTTTTTTTTTTTTTTTTTTTTTTTTTTTTTTTTTTTTTTTTTTTTTTTTTTTTTTTTTTTCCTTCCCCGTTTTTCTCTGCTTTTTATGCGCCAACGGCCACGCGACGTGGGCAAGCTCCTGTCTCTTATACACATCTAGATGTGTATAAGAGACAGCGTCAGGAGTATCTAACTGTACTCCGTTCAACTAGTAGGACATGAGTCATGCTGCTTGTGACACCAACTCTCCATACGTCAGTG